GTTTTTATCTTTCGCATCTTTGCTTATATCCTTTTCTTTTTCTTCTCACGTAGATGAGATGAGGTGCGATGACGTGATAAGATGTGACGTGATTTTATGTGATGTGATAGGATGTCATGTCATGTGTTGTCATATCCTGTGATGTCATGTCATATGATGTCATACCATACGATGTCATATCATGTGATGTCAAGTCATGTGATGTCATGCCATATAATGTGATGTCACGTGATATCGTGTGATAAAATGTGATGTGATGTCATGTAATGTGATCACCAGGGAACGGATTTTTAGGACCTAAAAACCTATAAAAAAGGCAAAATAAAGTAACGAAATAGGCTGGAAAAGGCAAAATAAAATAGCGAAAAAGGCAGGAAAAGGCACTAGGTGTTGCAAAAAAGGCAAAAAAAGGCAAAACAAAATAGCGAAAAAGGCAGGAAAAGGCAAAAAAAAGGTGTTGCCAAAAAAGCAAAATAAGGCACTAAAAAAAGACAGAAAATACGAAGAACAATCAAAAAATATATTTATTTTAGAAATTTTTATATTACAAGTAAGAAGAGAAAAACTATGAACTAGTTTCATTATATGAAAAATTTGTACTTTGACTCTTTGACTATTTTATCCTTTCGAGTTTCTAAGTAACATTGAACCACAAGATGCATTTTGAAGTTTTCTGGCAGCATTTTCATTCGATTTTCGCGAAGAAAAGCTCGACGTAAGTTGATACCAGTGGAACGTTTGAAACGTTCATATTATCAGCAATAAGGGCGTTTTCCTCGCCCTTTACAATTTTATACACACCCCTTATTGTCTTCAAGCCTACGTTAGCTGAGAAAACGGCTTTGAATTTTTCCAACACCAATTTGGCAAGAGGTCCCTGCGCTTCTATAAGCCGCATGGGCATGTGTATATTTTTTAATCTTAAAAAAAAAAATTGTAAATGCTATAATCACTTTTTTAAAGGTAGAAAAGGCAAAAAAGGCAAATATTTAAAAAAAGGCAAAAAAAAAGGCAAATATCTTAAAAAAGGCAAAAAAAAAAGCAATATCGAATGTGTATACATGGAATCAGGGAAAGCTAAATCGTGGACATTCTTAATCGAATATACTCTATCTCTTTAGCAGAAAAAAAGGCAATTTCCATAAAATCCGTTCCCTGGTGATCACATTCTATGTTCCGATTAGTATATCGATAACCCTGTTGGTAACTGTGTCGATAAAAATACCGATAACAATATCCATAAACATATAGAAAAATACAACGATTGTAAGATCGATTAATTCATCGATAAATATAACAATCATCAGTATAGATTATTGTACATATCGTTAAAAATATAAATGACTAAATCGATAACAAAATCAATTATTTAATCGATTATTACACCTATAACAATATCCATTATTGTATCGATAACAATATCGATTATTATTATTGATTATTATATCGATTACAATAGCGGCTATTTAATCAATAACAGTATCGATAACAATATAGATTATTTTTTCGATAGCAATATCGATTATTATATCGATAAAAACATCGAGTTTTATATCGATAACAATATCGATCTTCACCTCATCCTTTTCTTCATATTTATCTTTATTTTTGCATATTCCTCTCACCTTTACCTTAAAGTGTTTAAATTTACTTTGATCGTCGTTTTTGCCTGAACCTCTAGGCATCTTTGTTTTTGTTTTTATTCTTAAACAGTTATACCGCTGAGTACCATTTCCATGTGCATTATTCCCCTCGAATTTGACGATTTACTCCCAACCAACTGCCGCTAAAGAAGTTTCACTTCATAAATTCAAGAAATGTTCTTACCATTTCAGTTACCCTAATTCTTATGTATCGGTCATTGTCTCCATTTTCTGTTTAAAAGCTATTTCAGTCCTCTTTCATATGATACCAAATTTGTTTAATTTATTTTTTAAATTATTATCCGAAATAACGTTTATTTCGGAATAAAAAATATTAGGCTAAATTTAACTCGTAAAAAATAAGTGTTAACTTCGATCTCTAGAATATTATGCAAGTGCAAGTGCGTATATCTGACCAGTCACAGAAGAAAGCATTAAAAATGAATTAAATACAAAAACTAAAATCGAAAAACGCTGATGACGTGACAGGTTCTCCGAATTCCGAAACAACCAAAAGAATGAGAATGAAGAATTATTTGGAAAACAACGTTGTCCAAACAACGATCGTGCCATGATGCTAGATAGTGAAGATGAAAGTCAGGAGGATACATCCGACATTTGTGAACCCGATGAAATTCTCAGAAAGTAATTATTGCACCGCAATAAAAATAAATAAATATAACTGAAAGTCCTCTCAACTGGTGCAGTGTCAATCGAAATGAATTTACAATTTTGTCAAGTTTCAAGTTTTCCAAGTTTGTCGCCTAGAGTAATTATAAAGTGGCGCAGCACAGTGCTGTATGAGCGGGCAAAAATCAAAAAAATTGTTGTCACGTATGTCAACGTGTTTGGTATCGTTGGAAAGGAAATTTATCCTAGATTAAGGATCTGGACTTAGTTTTTGTTTTTATCTCATAAGGTTCTCACAAAAACCTCTTAAAGTTGTGTGTTTTTTATATATTTTTTCTTTTATGAAAATGCCTTTAGCTGGAGTCTTTAAAAAAAAAATTGCTAAAAATACAATTTATCATACTTTATCTTAAGACACAATTTTTCTAATTAGAAAATCTGTAAGGAAACCACTCTATAGAGCTTTTTAAAAAATATTGAGTTTCCTGGCTGGAATGGCCTATTTGCTACACCCTAAAATTTGTTGCAGAAAATTTAAAAAATTCCTAAGTTTACAAAGGGATAAAAAAAAATATGTAAAAGTATGTTTTTTTTATTCTTTTATTTGAAAGAAGGGGCATTTTTCTTTGAAATAAAAAAAAAGTCTGCAGACTCATTGCGCTTTTCGAAGAAAATCGTTTTTTTTTTTAAGGTTATAAAATAAACTTTTGCAAAAAAAAAAATTCACTGATTACAGTTACCACAGTATTTTCCATTACTTAAATGCCAAAACATTCTTTAAAAATAGTAAAGTTTATTACTGTAGACACACGCGGTAGTGTTCTGTGCTGTGTAGTGAAGCGTAAAATAGTGAAAAAAACTAATATTAATATGAATTCAATTATAAAAAACTCAATTTTAGCTGATATCTGAATTTCTACTCGTCCATCAGATAGAGTGTCTGCATTATCTGCATTTTTTGAAGACAAATTAATACACGCTAAATGCGACAAAGCACTTTTGAATCAAAAAATACAACTTTTTAATAGTGAGATGAAAAATAAGTGGAATTATAGTGGCCGCAAAAGAAGCGCTTTTGAAAAAACATATTCTAAATGGCTAAATTGGACATTCCTTTCCCTTCCGGATTCCAATGGAAATAAGGATAAATGTGCTGAACGGGGAAGATCTTCTAAAGAAGAATTTTGCGAAGCTTCACGGAGAACAAAAAATCGAAGGGTAGGGCATTTGTTGAAAAACTATTCCATCGAAGAGCTCGAGTATGCTCTGAAAAAAATGAAAAAAGCAAGCAAAGTTGAATGTTTTGAAAGTAGTACCGAAGGTTTGCCCATATCTGATTCACTCGCACTATACATAGATCTGAACTTATCAGATCGTAAATATAATAGTTTACGTGCAAAAATAAACCGGTTGCATAAAGATTGTATACCGAGCTTAAACGCATTGCAAACAAAAAAACAAACTTTGCTGCCAACGATTAAATCGACTGAATATTCAGCCGAAGTTGATCTGAAATCATTATTGCTGAAAACAACGCATTCGAGTTTAGATCAGTAAATGGCATTTTAATTTACATTGACAACTTTTTACAGTATTATTTTGCAAAAGGCTGGTCTGAATTAATTAATTTACTCGATTAGCTATTTTGCGATATGACGGTCTTATATCTTTTCGACAAGCCATATAAGTTATTAAAAAATAAATATTTTTTCCAGGTTAATTGATTTGTCATCCAACAAAAATATATGGACCAATAACAAATGCTCATCGTCTTTTTATTGTCGTCCAATTAAGTTTAGTTTCAAGAAGGAAAACCGCGAACTAGTTCTATTCGAATATAATGATATGTCGAGAAAAATTGAGAACTTAGAAGATGATGTTGTAATACGAAACGGAAAAGGGATTCAAGTTTCTTATCAAATGCATTGCACCATGATTGATGGATCTGTTGCCAATATTTTGACTGGCACTAATGCTTCCAGTAACTGTTTTATTTGCCATGCCAAACCGACCGAAATGAATGTTACTAATTTTACAAAAGTACCAATCGCTAATCATTACAAGTATGGGTTGTCTACACTGCATGCTTGGATTAGATGTTTTGAGTGTTTACTCCACATCGCATACCGTTTAACATTTAAATGCTGGCAAGTTCGCAAAGAAAACAAAGACGCCTTTTCTGCGAATAAAGTTAGGATTCAAAATGAGTTTAGGACAAGATTAGGCTTAATAGTGGACCAAGTAAAGACTGGATTTGGAACAACTAATGATGGCAACACAGCTCGCAAATTTTTTTCAAATGCAGAAGTGGCATCAGAAATTACCGGCATTAATAAAGAGCTAATTCAAAATTTTTCAATAATACTGCGATTAATATCGTGTGGAATGCGTATTAATATCGACGCGTTTAGAGAGCTCCTTATAAGGACAAGAACAATGTATTTGACTGAATACGAATGGTACTACATGCCTAGCAGCGTGCATAAAATATTGATGCATGGGTGTGAGGTTATTGAGTATTTCGATCTACCAATTGGTAAGAAAATCGATTTGTTGCTATTCGGCATTTTTTACTACTACGAATTTATTCCCACAGGCAATTTTTCAGAGGAAGCTCTGGAAGCTTTACATAAACACATACGTATCGTACGATATGATCATACACGTAAAACTGCTCGGGAGCATACAAACAGAGACTTGATGTCATACTTAACAATATCATCAGATCCTGAAGTAGTTTTTAAAAAGAGTGCTATCCCAAACAAAAATGCAGTTTATACAATGGACGAGCTGGAAGAGTATTTAGTCGATGCTGAAGAAACTTAAAAGTAATAAGTACCCTTCAGTCAACTCAATTAGTTTTATACTAATCAAATACTAGTCAGCCACACGGCCTCAACTAGTTCGAGTTCTGTAATTTTTCCATATAAGCAACTGGCCGCGGCGATGTCCTACGAGATGGCAATTGTCCTCTTCTGCATCAGCACTATACCAGTTGGCATACTAGTCAGCCTCTGCATCAGCAATATATCAGTTGACATACTAGTCAATATATACATCAATATACCATTTAAGATACTAGTTCGTATATACGTCATGATCGTACCTGTTGGCATACTAGTCATTATATACATCAGAATCATAGCAGTTGACATACTACTCAGTCTATGCGCCAAAACATACTAGTCAGTATGCACGTCAAGATCCTACCACTTGTCATACTAGTCCACGAATTTGACATTCATTCCAGTTGGTATACTATGGGATGGGATTTTTCTGATTAGTATGATTTCTAGTATGGATTACACTTTTTCTGACTAGTATGATTTCAACCCGAAATTCATGAATGAATTCATGTATGAATACACCACAAAATTCATGTATGAATACACCACAATTCATGTATGAATACACCACAAAATATATAGTCAATGAACTAGTGTGTTTGCTGAGTAGTTTGGAATTTGACTGCATGATGACTTTAATTTTTTCAATAAACGGCGTTAGATAAAACAAACAATTTTTGATTCAGTATTTTGAAACAACTCTTGTTCGTGCGAAGTAA